CCACAGGAAACATGAAGCCTATTGGTTCCTTCGATCAAGGGTTCTTGAAGTTAGGAATGGTGACAAAAACACGAGTTATTTTCACCACAAAGCCTCGCAAAGAAAGAAGAAAAATAGAATCAAGGGCCTTTTTGATGAGCAAGAAATATGGCAGGAAGATAAAGAAAAAATTGAGAAAATTGTGAGCAAGTACTACTCTGCTTTGTTTACTTCTGGCGACCCTTCCCACTCAAGTATTGAAGACATTTTGCAGCATGTGAAAACCGTGATCCCAAATGAGAAAAATGTGGCGCTTACTCGGCCTTACTCAAAAGAGGAGATATTTTTTGCACTTCAACAGATGCACCCCTGCAAGGCCCCGGGCCCTGATGGTATGCATGCAATTTTCTATCAGCGTTTCTGGCATATAGTAGGAGATGATGTTTCTAATTTTGTATGTGCTATTTTACATGGTCTTATCTCTCCGGAAGGTGTAAATAGTACTAATATTGCTTTGATTCCCAAAGTGAACTCTCCTTCTAACATGACAGAATTTAGGCCTATTAGTCTTTGCAATGTACTATATAAAATAGTGTCGAAAGCTATTGTAATTAGGCTTAAAAATATTCTCCCAGAGATTGTAACAGAAAATCAGAGTGCTTTTGTCCCTGGTAGATTGATTACAGACAATGCTCTTATAGCCCTGGAGCTTTTTCATACTATGAAGAAGAGGAGTCGGAGTAGAAGGGGCACTATCTCTCTGAAACTTGACATGAGTAAGGCGTATGATAGAGTAGAGTGGGGTTTTTTGAGAAAGTTGTTGTTGACGATGGGATTTGATGGGAGATGGGTTAATTTGATTATGAGCTGTGTTTCGACTATGTCTTACTCTTTCATTGTTAATGGAAGGGTGTATGGATCGGTGACTCCGTCGAGGGGCCTTAGGCAAGGGGATCCCCTTTCACCTTATTTGTTCATCTTGGTTGCTGATGCCTTTTCCCACATGTTGAATTACAAAGTGCAGATTGGAGATATTCATGGGGCAAAGGCGAGTAGAGGTGGCCCGGCCATTTCACATCTTTTGTTTGCAGACGATAGTCTATTATTTGCTAGAGCCAACCGAAAGGAATGCGAAGTTATAGTTGATATACTCAACAAATATGAAGTAGCATTTGGTTAGAAAATTAACTATGAGAAATCGGAGGTCTCTTTTAGCAAAGGGGTTATCGTCGAGCACAGGGATGAGTTGATGGGAATTTTAAATATGCGCCAAGTGGACAGAAATGGGAAATACTTGGGGATTCCAACACTAGCCGGCAGATCAAAGAAAGCAATTTTCAGTGCACTAACTGACAGAATTGGAAGGAGAAACTACTATCAAGAGCAGGGAAGGAAATTTTGCTTAAATCAGTCATACAAGCCATTCCGACTTATCTGATGGGGGTCTATAAATTACCCTCATCGGTGTGTCATAGTATCTGTTCGGCCATGGCTAATTATTTCTGGGGACAGAAGGATCAACGGAGAAAAATCCATTGGAGATTGTGGGAAATAATGTGTAGCCCGAAATGCTTATGGGGAATGGGTTTTAGAGACCTCGAAGTTTTTAATGATGCACTCCTCGGAAGACAAGCATGGAGGTTAGTTCATAAGGATGGATCTTTGTTGAGCCGGGTTATGAAAGCAAAATATTATCCGAATTGCTCCTTCTTGGATTCTTATTTGGGATATGGTAGTAGTTACTCCTGGAGAAGTATATGGAGTTCGAAAGCACTACTTAAGGAAGGAGTTATATGGCGCATTGGCAATGGTTCGAATGTGAACATATGGAGAGACCCTTGGCTTGCTGATGCTGAGGGCCGCTTTGTGACTAGTCCGGAGGTGGAAGGCATGAGTCAGGTGAGTGAGCTCATTGACTTCAATTGTATGGAGTGGAATGTGGATCTAATAACTTCAATTTTTAATGAGCGAGACCAACGTTGCATTTTGTCCATTCCCATAAGTTGTAGAAGCCCCCTGCGATGTCCTCACGTGGGCTTTCTCCAAGGATGGATTATATACAGCAAAAACATCATATATGCTGGGAAAGGGGTGTAATTTTGAAGCATTTCATTTGGCTTGGGTGGAGATTTGGAGCTTGGAAGTATCACCAAAGGTAAGACATTTCCTTTGGCGTCTTTGCACTAGTACTCTGCCAACGAGAGCTCTCTTGAAAGCTCGTCACTTTATTGAAAATGCCTTATGCCCGTGGTGTGGTATGGAGGAGGAGACTAGCGCACATATCTTGTTTGATTGCGCCAGGTCTAGGGATATGTGGGAAGACAGTGAATGTGCAAGCTTGATTGTAGATAGGAGTGGCACGATGTGTGATATGGTAGTGCGTTGGAAGGCCAAGGATGTGAAGACGCAGCAGCGAGCTGCTACCTTGATGTGGATCCTTTGGGCTGAGCGAAATCTTTGGGTATTCAATGGCACAGCTAACCCAAATGGAGTGCTCCTCTCTCGTCTGGACAGGTTGTGTGAGGAACACGGGAAATATAATAGTATGATTTATAAACCAATGCAGCCTCGACGAAGGAAGAGTGCCTCGAAGTGGACTGCTCGTCCTACTGGTTTAATTAAAGTAAATGTTGATGCTTGTCTAGCAAATGAAGGCTGGGTGGGGCTCGGCGTGGTGGCAAGGGATCACAAAGGGGAGGTCCTCTTCTCTGCAGTGAGACGAGTGAGAGCTCAATGGCCTGTAGAGGTAGCAGAGCTTTGTTGTTTGCTATGAAGCTTGCAAAACGGCTTGGGTATGATGACTTGGTACTTGAATCTGATTGCCAAGTGCTGGTCAATAGGCTTTCGAGTGCAGCAGTGTACTTTTCTGAGTTTGATATCGTGCTTGAGGATATTCTTCATGTTAGGTAGTGCCTTGAATTATTTTGCTTGGTCACATGTTAAACGTGAGGGCAATTTTGTAGCCCATCACATAGCCAAGTTAGTGCCCTTCGGGGATGAGCAAGTTTGGGTTAATCATTGTCCTTCGATGATTGCCCTCTATGTACTGTCGGATCGTTTAGCAATTGATTAATAAAATTGCTCGACAGGTTTCAAAAAAAAAAGTTTTCTTATGTCAAGTAATAAAGAACCTTATTATCCCATCAAAATGATCCAATCCAAAAGTTCAAATTTCAAATATATATGTATAATCTCAAATTCTCAATATCTTTTGCAGCAACTACAATGGTTAGTTAATTCATATAATAGCTTGTTATGCCAAATCATCTTTTTAAGCTACAACAATTCTAACTATTTGTTGCTCCAATAGTTAAGCTAGTTATAAATTAATTTATTTTTAAATTTAAAATATTTTTTATCTAATAAATATCTATCAAGCTAATTAGCTCTACAAAGCTAATTTGCTTGCCAAAGCTAATCAGCAAGATGTGCAACAATGGTCTAGCTATTAGTTTAAGAGTTATAATATTTGCAAGCTAGTCCCTTTTTTAACCATTGGAGTTCCTCTACATAATAAAACCCTATAATTTTTTTTAAAAATTTATATTCGATGAAAATCGTATCTCCTTCCAAATCTAATTTTTAAATAAATTAGCATTTGATAATGAAGAATAAACTTATCCCATCCAAAACCATGTGAAATAACAAGTAAAAAACTAATCTAAGACGATATTTTTTTTTTTTTTTGAGAAAAATCTAAGACGATATAAATAGTAAATAAATAGAAGAAATTTTAGAAATTGCAACTAAAGAAATATAGTTGTTGGGACTTGTTAGAACTTGTTTATGTCACCTAAAACAAAATGTTATGGTCTGATTTTAATAAGGTAATAATCTAATAATTCTGGTCTAGAATGATTAGATTTGATATATTGATTTGACTAAACTTTAACCTTAACTTTTCATAATATATAAGTACATAATCAAATGAGATTTAATTCGTCTTAATAAGTAAACAAAATTTAAATATAACATCTATAATCTATTTCATCCAAAAACTAATAAGTTGAAAAGAACAAGTCTTTCGTATTGACCAATTGTTAAAATTGCACGTCAAGCGTAGTCCCCCACCCTATCACCCATTCACCCCACCCTATCAGTAGAAATGTCATAACCACTTAAATATGTAAGCCCAAGATCAAAACACCATTAATCCCCACCGCAGATCCATGTACTGATAATATGAACTGATGAACCATGACCGCATGACAGTCGTGATGTAGTTTACTACAAAGTACTAAGTACTCCTACCAGTACAGTAGAAGCTCACTAAATGAGTACTAAACTGCTGTCCATGAAATTAGCACTACAAATTGATGCAATACCTTAACTTCATCTATCCATGACATAGACAAGCTAACGGACATTTTCAATCGAAGTGTCAAAAAGGGATTCTGTATACAGTGACAATGCAGCCAAAGGATGCATCAAAAGAAAAGTAAAACTCGAAAAATCTATTTATTGTCTATCCCAAGATGCACAGCCACACACTACTGCTTTATGTGCACTTGCTGTTTACGGAGTCCTCCCTTTATTTTTGAATAATTGACACACTTTTCATCTCGCATGTCATGACACACTTCTTTTTATTGTTGTCAGCTGCCTAAACAACCTATGGCTTCACCCAAAGCCCAAGTGTAGTATGGTTTAGTAGTAGCCACTTCTAGAGTTCTAGGCCCCTTCCCAATACTGGAAATCTGAGACAGAATCAAGTTCCCTAACAGGGGGCGAGGCCTCTGCTCCTCATGGAAAAATCAAATTTTCACTGAAGAGAAGCAAATGGAGAACCTCTGAACAATCTTTCAAGTTCGTAGGTCTGATTGAATCAATTTCCTTTGAGCAAGGGAAATACAAGGAAAAAGAAACAGGTCACCCTTTTCCTTTTCACTTTAAAGTCCAAAACAACGGCCTCACGTGTCCTTAGAAAGGTGTTCCAGGTTTTCGAATTTATAGATTACTAGTAGAGGACTTCATATAGAATCATTTAGGAATATCTTGGTTATCCATGATTACACAGAAAGTCACAGAAGTCAATACTGTTTCAATTCTCAATCTCCACTCTTTGCTACTCTAAGAAATTGTACATGCAAGCTCAACACTACACTATGAAACTGGGCAAATAAAAAGAGGCCCCTTAAATCTCAGCGTAATATTTGTGTATATGAGAGCCTGTCGGTTTACAGAAGATGTCCCTTCACTAAGTATTTAGGAGACATTTAGACACTAAAACAGCAGTTATACGACTTATACCTAACACTTCCAGCATTTCTTTTCTTTTGCATTTCTTTTGATAAGACCACTTGAATCCAAACAATATCTTGTCATGAAATAAAATGAGAAGCTAAGAAGGTATATTCTATAAGTCTATTTAATGAAATAGAACACATTATACAAAATTTGAAAGCTTTACTCACATCATCAAAGATGAAGATCTTCAATGTCAGTTATAAGACCTTTTCTTTCTGCCAATAGCCTATCTTGTTCAGTTACCACCAGCTGACCACATGCACCATTTATATCTTGGCCCATTTCCTTACGAACTGTTGTCCGGATGTTATATGTCTCCCTGAGAATTCTCTGAAATTTTTTTACTTTAGTTTCACTGCTCGTTTTGAATTGACTTGTACTGCCAACAGGGTTGAAAGGTATCAGATTTACAACCTGTATAAATTTTATCAACACCCACATGCAAATGTTAGGGGAAGTAAGACTAGTAAGCTTTCAATCATAAAACACAAACCATAAACCAAAGCCACACTTGCTTAACAGAACAGATTCACTTTATACAGGAAGTTTACAAAGCAAATAGTACAGCAATGTGATAAATGATACATCCCAGAGAAATGAAAGTCACATATCTCACACGCCAAAGTGAAGTTCCATCCCAAACCAATTGGCAAAAGCTAGGTTCATCACATAATTACCCTCTGTTTTTTTTGAGGTTGGAATATATAAATTATAAATACACACGGACACAGAATCTCCAAATTTCCTCCACATGCAAGTCCCTTTTAACTTAAGAGACTAGAGATATAGCAACTTCCCCATAAGAACTGGACATCTAATAGGGCTCAGATCCTTCTCTAACTGTATAATTGAAGGACCAAATCCCAGGTAATCTAACCTAGATTCTTATACTACATAATTAAAAGGAAAAGTCTAAGGTAATTGACCAACTGATTAGAATAGTTTATCAATCAAGATCAACTAGAAATATCTCCTCCCCACAATTAGTTTGCATACTATCTTAATTCTCAACATCAACAGTTCGTAAATAGTATCTCGTCTTTGGAAAACTACGGAGTTTTTTATTATAGTTTCAAATCACAGGTCAATACAGTAAGAAAGCAGGAAATAACAAGGCTATATATACTCAAATAATCATTTTTCATGTATAGTGACATTGAGGATTACTGAAATTTAAGTCTCATTCACAGCAAGTAATCACAGCAGAACCAAAATCTCTTTTTTTCAAGTCTTTTTGCCAAAGTCGTTTATCTGCTCAGCCCACTTAATTTCTCACAATATGAAGCCTCTTACATACTGCCCCCATACTCTACAAAACCATGAGTTCAAAAGAGCACAACAAGAAATAATCTCAAAAATGAAACAAAATCAGAATAAAAAGCATAAAAATGAATCTATACCCAAACCAACAAATTCCTTCTATATTATTCCTTCTATTTTCTGTGAGGCCAGTGCCAGTGTCAGGTCAGAGCAAGGTGCTATTGGATGTACAACAGGGGAGAATAAAGATTGGTCTGTCTATGTTATAATAATTAACATAAAAAAAATACCAACAACTACTAACAGAAGCACTAGTAACCCCTATAAATGAATAACTTTAGCACCACAGTTTGAAGATGAATGCAAGAAATACTAAAGCTTTTATAAGAGAACCAAGGCCAATACAAGGACTTGGGATTTATCAGTAGCAGTGACAGCTATGATAAACAAGCATAGAAATAGAAATCTAAAACAACACAACTACTAATTCTAAAAATTACTGACGAAACGCCAATTAGAATGCAAAAATAGCTAGTGCAGGTTATATAGGTGGAAGATATATGAGTTGGCATTGTTTATGTTGTGCCGAGGGCCACTATTCGGAAGAAGCATGACAAGGCATGACACAGCCCAATCCAGCATGACAAACTACGCTAAAATTTGTGAAATTTGGCTCAGGACGCAAGCCCAGCCCCGATCAGCATGGTGGCACGAGGGCTTGAGCCATGCACGGGACGACCTTGTAAAATTTTGGCACATCACGGCACAGCACGTAGATTGTGGTCTGGGCCTACCTAGTCCCAAAGCATATGGGCTCAACAGGAAGCCCGGCTCAGTCATCTTTAGTATTAGATATAAACAAAGAGTGTCTTGTGATTATCTCAAGCTTAGAAAAAGAAAAGCCAAATATGGCAATAACATTAGTTTAAATTAACTTCCACGTTACCATTAGTGCCTGCTAGTTGTTCAAAAAAAGTAAGGCGACTCTTGGCGTTGACAACTTGTTCTTAAATTTGTGTACTACACTTGGAACCATGATATAACTATACATCTGAAAACATAGCTTTTTCGAGGACATTTTTTCAATTCATTGCCCACATATGCAACTATCTATAGCTCAATACTTGTAAATTTGCAGACTGCTAAAAAATAAAGAGCTGGGTATGCCTCTTGTTCACTTTATTTATTAAAATCATTAAAAGGGCAAGAAACACTACAAATAAATAATAAGAATACACTAACCACTTCCAATGTCTCTAGCAATTTTCCAAGCTGGTGTGCTTGCAGCTCATTGTCATTCACTCCATCAAGCATTATGTACTCGATAAATATTTTCTGCTGACTAGATACAGAAGCAGAGAAAAGAAGAGAGGGTCATTCAAGGCATTAGTTTTTTTGCAAGGTTTATACAAAAATACATGCAAGTGTGCAACATCTTTTACCTATTTTTTTGGTATAAATGAAGCGCAGCCATAAGTTTCTCCAATGGAAATGCCCGAGCTGCAGGCATAATTTGGCAACGTATATCCTGAACTGGTGCATGAAGTGATACTGCGAGATTCAGATTAGGAAGATCGTTGTGTAGCTTATTAATTGCGTGCACAATTCCCACCTAAGGAGTATTCGGTCCAAATAAGATCATTCAGTCAAAATGTCGTGACATCAAGCCTACGCATTTTTATTCCTTACAAGATTACTAGTGTTACATAATATTGCCTACGTCGTTTTACGTTCTAGAAAAAGAGTCAATACATAAGCTAAAATAGTTAAATTATTTTAATTCATTATAAAACAACAAGTCACATACACAAACAGTTCCTCTATCTAAAATAATTGTCATACTGTCCAAAATATTACTGGTCATATTGGCAAATTGTCCCAAACCCCCATAATCATGAATTTATGATAAATAGGAACGGAGAGAATTTTTTCACAACATTTGAAATACAGTGAGAATAATTGCCAGAGGGTACTTTGCTAAAATTAGGAGGTTTGTTAGCAGTAACCAATCAACACCTTAAATTTTCAAGTATTCCTAGGAACAATTCAAATCAGATGGAAACATGGCATCTTAATATATGCAAGTCACAAAACAGTATAATGAGATCTGTTTTTGACCGTCTTGACATTTTAAATAGAGATATAGGGTAAATAACCTAAAACCATGCATTGCGGCTAATTTGTATAGAGTACTCAGTAATGTTTATATATACCACGGCAAAGATAATAATACAATCTTTGGAATGATTTAATACAATTGCATTCAAGATTTCAAGAAACACAAAAATAAGGTTCTAGCTTTAATACCGTTGACACAGTGATTTTCCTTGGTGACAAGTGAAATGGAGCGCTCGTCATGGCACGAATTGCTTCCACCAATGCAGAGTAATTATTCAATGGCTCCCCCATCCCCTGTAAACCAAAGATATAATCAAATGGACAAGCTTTTATAAAAGGTTAAGATTCCTATATGCAAAAAGGATAAAGTACAAGTTACATATAATCTAACAGTTTCAATAGTAATGAAAGGGGAAAAGATTATTACCAACAAAAAAAAAAATCTAGATAAGTCACAAGTTGATCCCACTTTAAGTAGTGTCATTAAGCATAATATATCAAATTTCTCAGGCAAAACGAACACATCGTTGTTATTCAAACTTTTTGAAGCTACAAGGATAGAGGATGCAGTATAGTAAAATATAAAAGAACAGTGAGAGGAGAAGTGAAGCCGAAAAAGGAGTGAAGATGAAAATGAAAATTGAATATTCATAATCCCCAGAGGGCATAAGTGTAACGCCTGTATTTTCAAGAGTAGTACTCTCTTATAAAAAGAATAATAAAACTTTATAAATGCTTTGCCGATTCAAAACCCAATTTATTACTAATTATCGGAATCTCTTTCCCTCTCAGCAAGTACTTCCCACTCTAGAACTAACTTCCCATGTGACCCTTGCCAAAAGAACCTTCCAATGACAATGACAAAATAATCACAATTTATGGGAACTTTGTGGGTGTTTGGTTATTGGAATGGATTGGTATGGAATCACATACTAAAGAGGTATGGATTCCGAAACTCATACTAGTCTAAACTTGTTTGGTTTTATTGTTGGGATGGATTATATACTCCATTAATAGAATGGATAGTGAATCTTAGGGGGAGAGGTGGGTATGGGATTCCATATGTCTGGGGTAGAGTTAGAACCCCTTGGGTATGAGATTCCATAGTTAAAAAGCTCAACCAAACAAAAACGTATATGGAATAGGTTCCAACTTCATTCCAACCTATTCCAAATTATCCAACCAAACGATCTAACCTAACCTATTTATCAGAATATACATTTATTTTCCATCTCTACATTACTTAACTCTATAATTGACTTTACATATGTTACTTGCCAACATATACCTAGATATTGACCAAGTGTCGTAGCTAAAATAATAAATTAGGCTCATGAACTTTGTGAATGTCAATCAAAGTTGATCAAGTAAATCTAAACAAACAAGTTGTACTCACAGTTGTTCAGCTTAAGGAAGAAAACTATAACCAATACAAAGTAAAAAAAAAAAAAAAAAAAAAACCAAGTGCAATTTGTCAAGGAAGATCCTAGAACAAAAACTATTCAACAAGAAACCTGATTTTCAAACTTTTATTCATGCGCGTGAACACACACACACACAGACTTCAGCTCAGCAACTCCACCAGCCCTTTCTAAGACGTTACCTCCCAGCCCTTTGTTTAATATACAATCTAACCAGATCCTTTTACAATACAGCTTCCACTAAATCCAACCATTATCTCAAAGGGGGGCAGCAGTATATGATTCTTAAAGACTTTCTCCAGACTTGATGATGACTGCCATAGGGTTATTGTGATTAAATTTTACTCCAAGCCAAACAAAATGCCAGATAACTGCCCTAACATCTAGATGGAACAAAAATACTACGATATAATATAACTAGCTCTCTGCATAGAATTGCACAATCTGATTGGCTAGCACATGCAAAAACAATCCAAACAGAAAATTGATACTTTTTCCACAGCTAAGATATCATGTAGCAACTGAAAAGAAAAAAAAAATTACCATAAAAACAATATTACGTATATTTGATATACGAGAGGCATGCACCAATTGCTCCACAATCTCTCCTGTTGTTAAATTACTTTTGAATCCCATGCTCCCAGTTGCGCAAAACGTGCATCCCATTTTGCATCCAACCTTTCCATAAATGCACATATAATAACTAAAACATTTAGATTCTGCAACAATAAGTATGACCAGTTCCACATAGAAGAAATAAAGTTAATAAGAACTATTATTTCATTAGTCTCCCTAGAATAACACAAGCATAGGAGACAGAAAATCACGATAGTAAACATATCACTGTCTGGACGAGAGCAAATTTAGCCTAAATGCTATTACAATTTATAAATAGCCTGATGTCCAACTTGTTTAGACTGGTTTACAAGTGGGTGGATCAGATAAAATCTAGAGTGATTCGATATCCTTCTTCAAGTTTCCATGTGGTCTGTGCAAAGACCACCAACTAACAACGAAAAATCACCAAAATGAGATGCCATAGATGCAATGTCAAGTACTATTGTACTCTAAAAAAAGTAAAGTATTTTTAAAACTTAACCATTTTTTAGCTTAATTGTGTCAAATTTCTATGACCAGTTTTGATTATTCATTCTTCTCAGATCTATGACTATTTTTTATAATTCATTCCATCTATGACTAGTTTGACTATTCATACCTTCTCGGATTAACTAAATAAAAAATAAAAAAAAAAAACCCTTACTCTGGGATAAGGAAATGAGGGGTGACATTTATATCCATTGAATATCCTGAATCAAGTGTTTTAACTGGAAATAGTCCCACAGAAAGTGAATTTTATTCTATATACTACACCATCTGTTTTGAAGTTCAACAGGTATCATATAATTAGAAGTAGGTATCAATCAATATTAGGGGCTTTAAGGCACAACATTAGAAGTACATAGCTAATAAGATACTTCGATTGTCACACCTCACATTGCTAGTTTAGATTACCCTATTAAAGTGGCAATTATTATCAACAAGGTGAGTTCATACTTCATAAAAAGGAAGCCAACTCAAAACTTCAAAAACACAATTCATAGGACACTAGCATCAAGTCAAAAAACTAACAAAAGAATAGTCATAACATGGATACATCAAGCATCCGCCCTAAAGTATTATTTCATTATATAATCCCAACATGCAATGAACATAGATTTAAGCACAATTTATTCTGCAAAAAAGAAAAGAAAAAATATAATTACAAAAATAAAAATCAATGTCAAAGTACCTGAGATGACACACAAAGAGTTGACCTTAGACCCCCAGGACGCTGTTTGCCGCCATATTGTCCTAGGCGGCTATCATATCTCATTATCACAGCTTCCACAAATGCCCCGTTCTGAAAAATTATAAATACAATTGGACAACAAGGGTGAACAGCTTGTGAGAAAACTACTACACTACATTACAAAAAGTTAATAATATTAAGTATCAACCACATCATGAAGCAATGGATTACATCACTTATCTCATTGACTAGGCTATTACTTCCTAACAGTGTTATGAAGTAAGAAATAGCCTTGGGAATCAAAGAGTCAAGTTAACACATATCTTATTCTTATCCAAGAGAACCTAACTAAAGGCAAAGGGAAAGCCAGAAAGAATCAAAACCGAAACGACCTTCAATAGCCATCATGTTTAGTTTTAATAACCCAAAATGAGTTAGCTAAGATATGTTTACTACACAAATGAAAATATCTTGTACATGATTCAAGATATTGTCCGGTTAAAAGCTAACACTTAAAGAGTTATCCCCTAAATTACCATGCAGAAAGTACCAAGATTTGCTTGATTGTAGGAACATACTTTCCCCAATTTTCCTCAACAAAATTCCTGTATTTTCCTCAACCATATAACCTCCTAGTTTTTTAATTTCCCGTGTACATTCAATTTTAACCGAAAACCCAATTATTGTAAATAACCAATCTCGGCGAAAAGGCAGCAGAAGAAGATCAAGGTTTACAATCATGGACACCAACAACTAGTTTCAAAAACTGAGCAAATATCATACAAAACCCTGAAAATAATACTCCATTTTTTCAAACATAGTCCTCACAATACTAGTTCAATTACACTATCAACGCGACTATTAATTCCAGGCCAAGAGTACCAAATACTAATTGTCATAACTTAATTGAGAAAATAATAGATTGAAAAGGGAAAATGCAAAAAATTAAAACCTTGAGCTTAATGAGAAGTTTAGAGGTAACAGCATCAGTAGAATGAGAAACAGAGTGAAGGGTTGAAGATAAAGGCAAGAACTTGGAATTGAGAAGAGGGTAAGCAGCAGCAGGCAATGACGGAATTTCATCCCATTTACAATTGGGATTCTGCAGAACATTCCTGCAACACCATTAATGGCGAACAACAAGATTAAAATCCATTGAAATTACAGAAAAAAGAGAGAAAATTGAAAAGAAAAATCACAGAATAAGAGAAGAAATTGGTTTACTTACTTCCAAATCAAAGGGATGAATTGAGGGTTGATTCCGGCGTTTTCGAACTCGGTCCGTAGCACAGAAGCGTCGAAAACGGATCGAAGCGCCATTGATGATGTGATTGTAGTTTTGATGCGTCGAGAATTGTTCTGGTTTGACGCTTCGTTGCTGGCTGCGGTCCGAGCTCGTATCAACAGTCTAACCTTCACTTCGCCGTAGAATCATGTAGTACTACTACTTTTTTTTTTTTTTTTTTTTGGTATTTCTATATACTAATCTTTTTTTTCATTTTACTTTCTACACTGAAACTCCAATATATTTTTTGTTTCCCTAAGGTAACCTCTGTTATCCTGCCATTAAAAAATTCTGTTAGCGGACTCTCCATTATTAGTATTTTTTATCGATTTACGCGTTGAAAAATATTCCTTCAAAGGTATCAAGGGCTATTTTGGTCCGTAGGGTCTTAGGGTCCAAATTGAGCTCAGATTTGGCAAAAAAAATAATGTAAATGCCTCGTTTTGTGCGTTAAAATGTGAACACGTAAATCGAGATATTTCTTAATAAGCAAAGTGAAACATTTACGTTATTTTTTTGCCAAATCTGAGCTCAATTTGGATCCCTAAGGACCAAAATAGCCCTCGGAACCTTTGACGGAATATTTTTCAACGCGCAAATCGATAAAAAAATACTTATAATGGAGAGTGGGCCCCGCTAACGGAATTTTTTAACTGCAAGATAACAGCAAGGTTACCGTATGGAAACAAAATATTGGGGTTACAGTGTAGAAAGTGATATATGTTGGGGCACAACGTAGAACAATGAAAAAAACAGGGTTAATATATAGAAAAACCCTTTTTTTATGGAATTTTTTTTCACAAAAGACCTTTAACTTTGTTTAAGTTTACTGTATTCGGCCATCATGAATGGAAACATTCATGGTAAGCCCCAAATCCCCTCTTTAGTCTATAGTTTATTTAGTTTTTTTATAGTTTATTGGTCAATAAGTGAGTCTCTTTTATGAGAGTTTGTGAGTCTTTCTTTATAAGATTTGTTTCTCCCTTCTATGGGGGTTTTCTGTTTTAGGGTCTATTGGTCAAGAGAGACGAAGATAACAAATCTTCATAACAAAACTCTTATTTCTCCTTTGATGTTGCACGAATTGATAAGATTGTTGTATTTTGGAAAGACACAAGGACGTCATCAATGGTTTACAGCCTGTTTTTCAGTGGAGAAGTTAGTAGATTAGGAGAAAAAATATGTTTCTCATGTGAGATCTGTTCTCCTTTGATGCTGCACGAATTTGTGAGATTGTTGTATTTTGGAAAGACGCAAGGACGTCATCAATGGTTTACAGCCTGTTCTTCATTAGATAATTTAGTAGATTAGGAGAAAAATATGTTTCTGATGTGAGATCTGTTCTTTGTAGTCTTTACTTGATTTCTGTAAGTGTTGTTTGACTTGTTTAATTTATGCTATTTCTATGGTTTCCCCTAAAAAAAAAAAGGTATGAGAAAAAGCATATTTAGGACTTGTTCTGATTTAATGACCTGGGCTAGATTGAATTAAATTGAACTGAACTTATTGAAGTTGAACTGAAATGAACTCACCTGAAAATAAGTTGAAAAGAAATGGTCCTTACTCCCTCTTTTTTTTTTAATGCATCACTTTGATTTTTGCACTATTCACATACCATAGTTTAAGTTTTTTCACCTCTATAAAATTAATAAATGTTATTACATAATATATCATTAGATTAGTCATAATGTCTAGTTTCATAATATAATTTTGTTACAATTTTAACTAATCGATAATTAAAGATATTCATGGTCGAAGTTGCGTCTCAACCAATGTATCGGTCAAACTAGTGCAAATAAATAAAAATAGAAGGAGTATTTATTAGATCCTCCACTCTAGAATTTATACTTTTTTTCATTGTTCATATGCTCCCTCTATCTATCCCAGTTTACTTCACGTTTGTCGATGCACATGTTTGACCGTTAATATTGTTTATTATATATTTATATAAGTTATAAAAAGTTTAATTGTATCAAGAAACTATACATTAAAATAGACTCAACAACCTATTACATGATTACATTGACTTTCATATAATAGTTATAAGAGACGGTTAATGGGGGATGTATGAATAGTGCAAAAAGTCAAACTGTTGCGAGTAATTTGGGACGGAAGGAGTATTAATTCTTACTATGGTTTTTTATTAACAAATAATAAAAGTATCTCAACATGAGATACATGGTAGTAGATCTGATGGATTTTCGTGAAATTATTTCGTTGGTGAAAAAGTTATCAAGTTTTCGAATGCAGACAAATGAATAAGAAGAAAAACATCCTCACGACTACAAAGGATCGTTAGATTGTCTCTCCAGCAAGGCTGTATTTTCCAGCGATATAAGCGAGAGATGTTCTACAATGCAATATATACTCGACGACCGTAGTTTTTATGAAGGAAAATTTTATTTGAATCAATATCTTATGTATTTGTTAACGTCGAATCTATACTGTAGATGTCGTATGACTTTTAATTAATGAAATATTTTTTATATTAAAAAAAAAAGATACATGATATGTTGCTTCAAAAAAAAAAAACACATGGGGCTTGTTCGTCATTAGCTTTTAAGGTAGTTGTTAGCTTTTAAACCTAAATAAAACACTACCTTAAAATAATATTAGTATTTAGTGAAGTAGTGTTTTAAGTAGTTGTTAGAGGTAGAGGTAACTTTTGAGTAGTTGCTGTTGAAATCTAAACAAAGATAGCATTTGAAATTGTAAAGTATCGTTCAACCTTAATTTTAAGTTTTTTTGTATCCTTTTTTTCCTCTTTTTTTTTCCTTTCATTATGAGAAATTTGTTTTTTCAATCTTAGTTTTAAATTGATTGTTTATTAGTAATAAACATTATACTATATAATATTTAAAATTATCAAACATATGATATATAGTACGTCACACTAATAATAATAATAATAATAATAATAATAATAATAATAATTTTTAATGGGGTCATTTAATTAAAAAAATATAATCAACTTTATAGGAAAAAAAAATTATTTTTTCATATACAAGTGGGGTCAAGGGACCCCGCGAAATAACTTTGCATCCACCACTGATAATTTAGGTAGATTTTGTTTTTGTCCAAAAAAATCTGTATTTTCAAACTATAATAGAAGGCCTTAATGGAACATTAAAAAACTTCAACCAAAAATGGAAGAATTTCAATGGAGAAATATAAGAGCTTCAAGGAGTTTCAATGTAGAGCTAGCAATCCTGACCCGACCCGAATGACCCGACCTGGGACCCGAAATTAACTCGAAAACATAAACTCAAAATTGACCCGAACAAAAAGTTGACCCGACCCGACCCGTACCCTACCCGAAGTGGAGTTGACCCGAACTTGACCCAATACCTGAATTGACTTGACTTGAAATTTACCCGGTACCCGAATTGACCTGACTCGAAATTAACCCGATACCCGTAGTGACCCGATCCGATTTTACTCCAAATTGATTGACCCAAATGGAACCGAAACCCAAAGCGGCCCGAACTATAACCGAAATGACCCGACCCAAAATGAACAAATACTCAAAATCACCTAACCGATTTAGGGCTTAATTACTTTACCTAAATAAACACTTATCGAAAATAACTGAAATGAAGTATTGTGTGTATAATACTATTGAAATGTGCGTGTAATGTATTGCTCGTAATTCATAAAGAGTTCCATTTTATTAGGAACACTAGTTTTTGTTATTGTTATTAATACTATTACTCTTAGCTTCTTCTTTTAAGTGTTACATAGATTATTTTTTCCACTATTCACTTTACCTTATTTGAATTTTTGAGCAATTAATCAATGATAGTGATAGTGATCATACATATGAAACAATACAGTCTTGTGTATATAGTACTGTTGGAATTGTCTAATGAATGTATTGTTAATATTCAATTGTTATAATTTATACTTATTGATTATTATAATATATTATTGGTCAAATTTCTACAACGATATAGACGAAACTCGGCCTAACTCGAATAGACCTACCCGAACTCAATCTGACTCGAATTTAACCCCACCCGACTTGACCTGATAATTGGACCCGAAGACTGAACTGACGCGAATTAACCCGATCCGAACTCGACCCGACCTAAACTCAACCCGACCCGAACTCGACTCGAAGTGTTGACCCGATACCCGACCCGACTCGAATTATCATTGATCCGAAACTTATCTGAAACCCGAATTGACCCGACTCAACCCGAACCTGACCTGAATATAGATGATTGACCCAACCCGAACCCGACCCAAATGGCCAATTTTCCAGGTCTACTTCAATTGAGGACAATCAAAACTGTAATACCCCGTATTTTTATACGTATTTTAATTCAAATAAGTATTTCTTAAAGTATTTAAATAAGTTGAAAGTAAATATTTAGGAGGTTTTATTAAGTTAAAGAGTTTTATTAAAGGTCCAATTTATTTCTTTAATAATTTTGAAATACTTTATTTTATAATTTAAAAATATTGGGGCATATAATTTTATAAAAGATAATTTTTAAAGTCGATGACATTTAAAGGAAAGTTGAAATAGTAGTTGGAATAGGAAAATGATCATTAAGGGTATGTAGAAAAGGAATTTTAAGTAGGAGGGTTGTTGAGAAAGAGTGTAAATACCCATCATTTGAGCAAAATCAAACTTTGCCCAAGGTAGAGATTATCCAAAAGGTAACTCTCTCTCTCTCCTATTATTTTCTCTTTCTCTCTTTTATTTTTCCCTTTCCTCTTTATTTTATTTTTATTCCACCACACATATCACCACTATTGTCGGCCAACACCACGGCAGCCCACCGACCGGCGGCCACCACCACCAGCACTCATCGCGCGGCAGCAACCAACCACGGTGGTTGTTATGCGCTAGTGGTGTTCGAAAAAAAAATTATTCTTTTTGTTTTTAATCCTTAATCTAATTATTGCTTTTGGATTTTATGATGTTTGATTACAAGTATGATGTATATAAATTTTCAGATTTGGTTTTGAGTTAAAAAGCCCCAAATTACAAACCCTAGATCTCTGAGTTTATGAATATTGATGGTAATTGATTATGGGTGATTTAAATTATTGAAATAGGTATATTAAAACATAATTACATCAATTTTAGATGATTTAATAAAGCTGGAATTTTTGTATATAAGCCATAATTAAGTTTCTTGGAATGATTTTTAACTACC